GTTTCACTAAGTTTCAATCTGACATACAGACACATAAAGCTATACCAATGCTTCCTCCGTGCAAACATATTCCGAGCATAGCCTTGTGTTACTACCTTCTCATTCCATCAAGAAAACACATACGTCTTAACACAACACACTTCCAAGAGAAACAACCATACACGACTCTGCAAAAGACTTAAGACCATTTAAAATTTTAAAAAAATATCACTTACTGCTTTCTATAGCAAACAACTTATTCAAATTGCAGGGTTTTAAAATAGGCCACAAATCTCTTCAGATCTTGATTCTCCTTGGATCCTAGATAGACAATAACAATAGATGAATGAGAAGTAATAATATACCAAAAATCACAAACAGGCTAAAGGTAATCGTTGAAATACATATATAAAAATATTGTTTACAAACCAAGGCATGAAAGGGTCGGTCAAATATTACAGGAGCAAATAAAGCAAAGAAAAAGAACAAAATGACTATCAGACATCGACACTTCCGGTATCCCTCTCATAAGCATATGCTAAAGGTTCTAGCTGGTTAGTGATAATAGTATGGTCGGGATAAAATAACAAAATCTACCCAAACATTTCATCTCGGACCCTACTCACGACCTCTACTGCCCAGTGAAGGGATTCCCGAGATTCCTCTCGAGCAACAACCATTTCTTCCCCCAGAACCTTCAAGGAATTAGCCTGATCATCCTTCCTCAGTTGAAGATCTTTTTGGTCTGCTTCGAACGCATGACACGCTTCAACTGCATCTTCAAAAACCTTCTTACAAATTTTTTCCCCATCAACAAAGGAGGCCTTCAGCTTCTCTATTTGAGCAACCAAAATAAACGATCAGCCATACCGATCCACCTCTTTCTGTAAGGAGCTAAGAGCATCATCATTCTTACGAAGCTTAGCCAATTCCTTCTCAGCATCAGAATTTTCCCACTAAAGGTCTTCACACTTTGCCCTCAGCGCGTCTTGTTCCCTTGAAAGCTTGCCGGAGTCCAGAACATCGTCATGGCCAACAACTACAATAGAATAAAGGGACCCGACTATGAATAAATTTTGGGAAGCGTTTGCAAAAAGGCTCTGTCTGTTAGTCGTAGAAAACCCCAGATGAAATCCATGTCTTCAGTAGCCATGAAAACAGTAAACTCCATCGGTGTACTAGGTATCTAGAAGGGAAGAATAATAGGAAGTGAGAAGAAAGGAGTAATAACATCATGCTCGCCACCCTTCGCCAAGCGATCCCTTTTTGGAGAACCTCCTTCGACAAGAGTAGATGAACTATCACCCGACCCTTCTTAGCAGGAGAATGAGAATGTGAACATCCCTAAGCAGATAAATCAACCATAATAGTAGCCGGTTGACCCATTTTAGGAGTCGAAACCAGCATAATAGTTTTGACTACCTCTGAGGCAATCACAACAGTAGGAATTCGAGCCTCTAGAACATAAGTAGAAGTAAAAATAGGTACCGCTGGCATCAAGGCGGATAAGCTAGTTGTAAGGATCTGATCATTTGCAACCTCCAGAGCTTTCTGCAATTGAATTAACCAATTTATATTATCTGCAAAATCACAAATTTCTTGGTTAAAAAAAGGGCGCTCGGATCCCCATCCTCACTAAAGAATTTCCGTCTCTTGGAATGTATGGATGCACTAATTACCGCGTGATTATTTGTTCACCTTTTATTTTGTTGAAAGGAGAGTAATTCATCAGGACCAAACTATTCTTTATTTCTGAGTCCCTAATACCGGACATGTAAATCCTCTTTCATCTCCACTTCCTCGGGAGATAGAGAAGTTGGCCTAGAGTGATAAAAATATATAAGATAGCTCTAGTAATTGAGACCCTTACATGCCAATACGTCGACTCTATGATGGTCACTAGGGCTGACCCAAGTCACAACATCATGTCGGTCGGACACTCTATGTGACGAGAAATTTTATCATCAATTAGGGTCATGACCAGTTGATTCCTGGTATGTTTTGACAAAGAGTGTGACACATTCCCTCCTTTTACGTGAAACCTCTATTTTTGCCTCGGTCGTGATAGGAGGATGCATCAGTCTCTCGACAAGGTTTTCACCCCTGTCAGATTTTGCAAGAAATAGAGATTCTGGAGTATTCTTAGAGAGAGAGCTTCATCTGAAATAGATTCTCCAGAAGACTCTTCCATCTTTGAATCATCACTCAAAATGATTACTCCTTATTCAAAACACCCACTAACAGAGGGGTGGGAATGCGATATAAACTCCATTCCATTTTTCGAAGATGAAGAAACATTACCCTCCGAGTCACTCTCGATGATAATTGGGTTACCACTCATCATAATGAAAATGCGATTAAAACTTGAGTAAAAGTTGAAGAGAAAAGAGGGTACCTTGAAGTATGAAGGCGAAAGTGTTGAAACAAGAAAGGAAGTTGAAAAGTCGAAGTTCTAATGCTTTCAAATTATGAACGTGCGACGACAATTACTATAAAAGAAAAATGCTCTATGATAAGAAAGAAAGACTCAAAGAGACAAGAGGAAACTCATTCTACAATATGTCTAAAAAGTTATCCATGATTTTCCTTCATCTTTATATAAGCAAAGGCAATTAAATGGATAAGATCGAAAGCAGAAAGTAAGGGAAAATTAAAGACCATATTTTGTATGGGGAGGACAACCATACTCAAGTGCACTCGAGTACAAGGAAAGTTGTGTCACGTCAGCCCACACCTTTTTCAAGTCACCTGTCAACGACAAAAAATTTCAATAATGGGATTGAATTTAATGCTCACATCCACATCATGCTTTGGCAAACCAAAGCGGAACATGCTAGCCGACCTCTGGACAAACATCCTTTAAGGTCGGCCATTACTAATAAAATACTACCACAATATCAAACATACCTGAAGAGTCTTGGGAGAAACTATTACGTGTTGTCCAAAGACCCGAGACCTACTTATCCATGTCGGCTAAACGCCTAATAGCACGAGGCCTATTATCCATCCTACCCTATCAGACCCAAGGTATAAATACCTTTGTAAAGGGTTCCCAGGTACACAATCTCTAATATCCACTTTCATACCACTATCTTTAACCTTAAAATGACTTCGTCGTTGGGTTGTTAACGATGCAGGTACCCATACGAGTCTACCGTATTGGAGATAGCAAACACTAATTAACGAGATCACATCAAGATCGACCTCTATGTTTCAAGAATCATCGTGAACACAACCTTCATTCCATGGTGTCACATCAACATAGTGCATTAGAAAGTTTCGCTCCGTCAAAGTTTCCACAACCATCATCATTTATGTTTCCGCAACAGAACAATAATAAAAAAATTACATCCTTTTATGTAGCATGTGAACTACTTCATTTCCTACTAAATGTCTTAACATCTTATGCCTCAAGGAATTCTTAGCCTCTTTTAGAATCTTCTAAACAACATTGTAAACTTTTGCACTCTGCTCTACAACTCCATCATAAAGTAATCCAGAAGCCAAGTCTTTAATCATGTGCAAGAATGAGCCAAATTACTGTCATATTCTTCTTCCACCTATCATTCTAGTGCTTCCTCCTAAACTAGTATTGGTGGATCTTCCTCAGGCAAGGGAATTAGGTAGGGATCTAATACCTCAAAATACCATGTTATGTATATCGCCTTAGTATCCCAATCGTTCATTATATGTCACCTTGCTTCTCTATTGACAACTTTTAGTCTAGGTAATCAATATATCCCTCTAATCAACATGCTCTCGACTAACCGTAGACCCAACATATACGTCTAGATGTTTGGGGAAACTTTACACGTACTCAAACTGACATAAGATTCACTCTAAAATGTATCAGACCATACACAATCTATATCTAATCTAACTCAAGTGAAAGTGTATTTCTTCTAATGGGTATGTCTATTATTAATCGACATAGGTGTAGAAGTACAAATCCTTCCACATCATGCGACAATAGTCAATCTAGACACTTTCGATATTGCTCTGGAGTAAGATGTCCTTTATGCAAAATAAAGTAGTTAGCATGTGACTCATTTTCAATATACATCTACTTATAATCACCTCTGCTAATATTGGGAAAATTTTGAGAGATCTATGCTTCCATCAATGTGTACTAATTAATAAATAACATTGACAACTTTGAGGACGAATTGTATGTGCATGTGTGTCTTAACCTGATCATCTTTCTTCTAATTAGCATTGAAAACTGCCACGTGTGTTTGAAAATTATCTTCGAAGTAGTTGAACCATACATGGACCCCTTTTGTCTTTTCCACTTCTCGCATAACGATCTCTAGATCATATCCAATTAGCTCAACCATCATATCTATTGTTTTATGTTTGGTTACTCAAGTGTAGTAAAAAGAGTGACTCATAATAGGTAGATGTAGTAGACAAAACATGTTATATAGTGTCACTGTCATTTCCCTAATTAGTAGATAAAATTTGTATGTCTCTTCATGTCATCTCTCATAAAAGATTGTTAGAAGGACATGATCATCCACGGTGTAACCTTTGGTGGCAAGTTTAGAGTATCCACTGTTTCTAATGACATTAACTATTTATGGTTTTGTGCAAGTTAATGATCTTTTCTGTTACTGACAATTTTTTTGTCTAACAAATTGAAATAGTATAAAGGGGTCAAAGTGTTTTTTTTGAGAGAAACAAACCATAACACACAAATTGACGAGACTAATCAATTCGACTAAATCAACTAAACTCTTTGATATTATGTTAAAAAAGAAAAAAAAATGAGAAATGAGATAAAAAGGTTCGAGTTTTCATTAGAATAAAAAAATAATTAAAAAAAATTACAATAAAACATAAATAAATATATAAATATTAGATACTTGAAATCACCAAATTACACATACTAAATTTATAGTGACACAATCTTCCAAATTTTACTTAGCAGCCTCAAAATTTTGCTTAGCAACCACAAAACCAATTAGAAGAGACCAAAAAACAAGACTTAGTAAACCCTTTCAAAGTGGTAACATAATTGATTATAGCTCTTCTTTGGCTACTGCTATATTCACTGGAAATTTGTTTCTAACCCAATCCATATAACCTCCTCCGACGTCCTTCACATTCTTAAAACCCTATCCATTCAAATCAATACAAATAAATTTGCAGATCAAAAAACTAATATTCAATACATAAATAAAAACTTTATCAAATGAGGTTTCAATTTCTTAAAGCGTGAGTTAACTTACATCAGCTAGAAGATCAGAAGTTGCATATAGAGATCTCACCCCACTTTGACAACCCTGAAATTGTTTTTTATTTAATTTTTTTATTAATTTGTAAGTAAAGTAATTATAAAATATAAATAACATATATACAAATAATATATTAATTAGTAATTACCACAACGACATGATCTTCTTTGTTGAAAGCAGATGAAACCTCCTTTAGAAAATCTGGATTCTTCACCCTGCCTGGTCGATCTCCAAAAACAAAATATCTTAAATTTTTTACCATAGAAAATCTAAATGTATTGTTAAATAAAATAAAAAACATATGTAATAATCTAATTATAATTATGAGAGATTGAAAATTTTGTTACCCTTAGATGTATCCACCATGTATGGAATATTAACGATCTTAGCTGTATCCACGTGTCCTTTCACAAACTCTTCCACCGTCCTACAAATTACCAACAAAACCCAACGAGACAAAAAAAAAACATCAATAATTTTGTTTTTAAGAATCTTAAAATATGCATATGTAGGTTACCTAACATCAAGATAAACGTGACCTGTCTGGATGAGATTCTTGGCTGTTTGTACATCAATAGTCACAACTTTTGCTCCTGAGCTACACAACGCAAACAGAAAATGAAGAAGAAGAAGAAGAAACGCTGAAAAACGAGTCATTTATGTGATTTTTGTTAAAAGTTAAAATATCAAAGCTTTTGAAGCTATGACAAATACAAGCACGCATGGTATTTATATGTAAGGAGCATGTTGGTTTTGTTTCAAATCTGGGGTCTCTCTTTAGAATAAAAGAAAAGAGTGAATAAATGGTATGAGAAAAATTACCATATACATACACAGTGTTGTTGCTAACGGTATTATGCAGCTGTTTGATAAGGACACGGTTTTTTTTAGTACTGTTTTCTATTAGTTTGGTTGTAAATAGATTTAACATTTAACAATTATTAAGTTGGACATAAAAGTTGGGTAAGACTCAAATCATATAAAGGAACCAGAAGATTCAATAAACTAATTAGCTGGACTTTGAAGCTTATCCTTTGTTTTTTGTTTTTTTTTTTAATTATTACTTTTGTTTATTCTAAAAATACTTTTTTGTTAGATATTTTTGTAATATATATATCATCACCCTCATGAAAGTAACCTATCTTGAACCAATCTCCACCCAAACAACTTCAATTTAGAGGGAACCTTAGCTTTCCAAATCACCTTCAAAGTTTGCTTATTATAAACCTTCCATAACATGAGCTGACAGAGAATATATTTTTACTTTCATAAGGCTAAAGCACCATATCTGACGGGTCATCAATAGGATTGAAATCTTGCAGCACTTGTAAAAGTTCTTCTTTTTCTAGGTTGATCTCAAACCCCTCATCTGCAGAGTCCATACTTCATCAATCCAATCCCCCATATTACTCACGCTAGGATCTTTATTTACACATTCCGGAAACAATTTGGGAATTGAACTGATAAGTTATCATGCCTCAACCATTTTCCTGTCCAAAAAGGAATTTTCATTCTATCACCCAACCTGAAAGTAAAATGCTGCATAATCCCTCATGGTTCATCATAGATCTTCAAGAGACCTCTTCACCACAAGGACACTTTTGATTTTCTACCTAAGACTTCTTCGAACCATAACCTTCTTGTGTATTATTGGAAAATTGTGCATGTTGGAATTATTTATTTAATTAATAGTGTACATTATGGAAATATTAGTATTATTATTATTACTTAAAATAAATATAAGTGAAATAAGGGTAATTTGGGCATTAAGAGGAGTTAGTAAGGGTATTATGGGAAAAGTCCAAATTGTGAGGCCCAAGACTAGGTTTAACAAAAAGGAAATTTGTGAAGGAATTATGATTCATTTGTTAGACCGTGAAAAGAATTGAGACCAGAGCTCTGAGGAGGGAGATTGGAGGCAAAAACTTCGGAGGATTCCCGGAAATATTTGAGAAGGCTTTGATCGACAATTAAGGTATGGGGAGTATAGCCTTTCATGATTTTCGATATGTGACTTTCAATGTATTTAAGGCTGATTTAAGAGTTTAAGGGTTTTGAGGAGATTTGTGGGAAAAAAGGGAATTTGGCCTTCATGGCCAAATCCTATTTTGAGGTTTAACTTTGAACTAGGCCTTCGTGGCCAAAAACTATGATTTGACATTGGTCTAACCCTGCAGGAAAATTTGATAGTGTGAACTCTGATGATTGTGGTGTAGTGGTAAGTATTCTTGACAGTTAGAGCATAGATATGAGAAGTAGTGATCTTTGGCCTTTGTGGCCTAAATCTGTTATAGGTGAATCTAACCGTGGAATCCGTTGGGGAAAGGGAAGGGTAGGCCTTCGTGGCCAGAACCTTGAATTTTTATATGTCTGACCCTGAAGGGATAGGAATATTTGATAGTGAGTAACTCTGACGCCTTAGGGTGTAATTGAAGGAAAAATTGTGATTTAGAACGTGAATATGTTACGGGATTGGCCTAATAAACCGTAGGTTTTGTGCCTTTGTCGTCGTAAAACCTTAGGGATGATTTAGGGATGTTTTTGGGGCATTGGGTAAGTGAATCGTAGAGCTTTTTGAGTGATTTCAAGTTCTGGTGCGTAGCGAGCGATTGTGTTCCCAAACTCGCCTAGCGAAGAAACTCGCCCCAGACTCACCTAGCGAACATGCCAGCGAATGTAGCAGAGTTTCGCGAATGTTGATCATGTGCAGCGATGCTTTGATGTTTGATTTTGTGATTTCTGTGATGAATTAACATGAGTAGGACTGTGAAGTTTATGTGATTACTAGGCGATAGTATGAGGATTACCGCGAGTATAATTATGAATTAATATGTGATAATATGTGATAATATGATGAATTAATATGAGTATGACTGTGAGCTCTATGTGATTTGTACATGATTATATGATGATTTCTATGATGACATGATGTATGATGACATGATGTGTGATGACATGATGTATGATGATGATTATTATGATGAGCTATGATGACATGATGTATGATGGTGATTATGATGATGAGCTATGACGTTTGATGATGATGAATATGATGAATGATGATGCACCTATGATGTTGTTATGAGGATGATTTGTGACGTGTGAATCATGCATTCATGTGCATCCGGACTTCGGTTCAGAACCTCGATTACTTTGCCTTCAATCCCATTATGTGGATGTGAAGTGTTTTGATGTGCTCCGGTTCTCAAGTAGAATCGATCCTATTGATGGGGATCTATGGAGGGTTGATGGCCTAGTGTCCATCGCGCTGTGATGATTGGTACCACATGCATTGAGTCTTGTTGCATTTTGCATTTATGAGTCTTTTGGTATAATTTATGATGTTGTGCCCTTGGAGTCATATTGAAGGATATGAATGTGTTGAATATGAAAATGACGCCGTTTATATGTTGATTTTTATACATTGATTATTATGAGTCGTTTTACTCACCCTGCCTGTTTGAATGTTACCTCCACGTGGGTAACATGCAGATGACCAGGTTTAGCCGTGGACGCCGTTGAGGACTTTTGAAGTTTTGAGTTGTTAGCCCTTGGTTAACTTAGAGGGTCTTTCTCTGATAGTGTAACATCGGGTTGGGGTCTATGTTTTATCTGAGTTATTTTGATTATCTTTCTGTATAAGGAAAACTTTGGATAATGCCTTTTGAGTTCCGCTGCCTTTGAGCAATTTTTGATATTTTTTGGGAAAACCCGTTGTACACGGAGCATTGACTTATTTTGAGTTATTGAGAAATGTACGCCATTTGAGGTGATTTTTATTGAGTTAAATATTTTACTCTGATATCTGTGTTATTTTGCCATAATATTTGTGGGGTAGAAAATGGTGTTACAAACTCCACTATAAAGGAAACCAAAGCCTAAGTCTTTTCATCAACATCTTTATGAACACTATGGAATCCACAACTGAAAGTACCATTGTCTTCATACTCACAGAGATTTCAGAAGACATTACAAGTCTGCAGACTAAAGGTCAACAAAGTCCAAATGTTTTTGTAGTTTCTGAAGTAAGTTCTTCAACAATTGCATTGAAACCTTCTGAAGAAAGTTCATTAACAACTACTTTGAAACCTAAGAAGATGTCGAAGAAGAACAGAGAAAAAATGATGTTTCAAATTGTGAGGATGAGGAAGAGCCGGCTATACTTGAGAAAATTACATGGGTCTTAAGGTTTTAGAAGAATTAGATTAATGTAATCTTAATATCTTAATCCTTTTTGTAATCCTTCTTATGATTAATGAAAATTATTTTGACCATTGTTAATTTGCATGAGTACAATCTTTTACTTTCCCTTTTTTATTTTTGATTTTCTGACAATTGCATAAATGAAGTAAAAAGAAAAAAAAAAGATTAATATTGAACAGACAACAAGCACCTGCTAAATGACAATCACGGTTGTTCAAGAGAAACTTTCTTAGGGCTAAATACTAGACATCTCTTCTCAAGAGTCACAAGTTAAATAATTGATTTGACTAATCAACATAGAAACAGTAAGGACTCAAGGTAACAGATAAGTAAACTCTATAAAAGGTTTAGCAAACTATCTTTCCAAATCATTTAATCTTTTAGAACACAAAAATGTATAAGCACAAACAAATCTAGGTTCCAAAGAGAGATTTTAGAAAAAGGTAACATTACTCAAGCAAACGAGAAAAATGTAGCAACTGAAGAGTTTTTAAATAAGCAGATTTCTTCAGAGGCATATACATTAACAACAACCTTTGTTGAGACACATAGAAGGAAACGAGCTTCTAGGTAAAAACGCAGAAATCTCCAGAGGAAGGAGGCTGTTGAGTTTGCAAAGGAAGATGGGGAGGATTACTTGAACAATCTAGATGTGTCAGATGAACATAGGGAATACCTTAGAACAGATCCAAATGTCTAGAAAGTTCTTGACAAAGATGTATCAACTACCAATCTTTTAATGAGAATGTTGCTAGTTTCTAGAGTTTTATTCCTAATTTTTTTATTCGCTAAACAACATAAGAAATGCACATATAACAGTTAAAACCATACAAGAACATATTTTTTTAATTAAAACCAAATATTGCTTAATACAATATAATAATAGTTACAAGGCATATATTGTAGATGTCCAACATTAGAACCTCTCATAGATAGCTTCAAGTTTATCTCTCTAAATTTTAGAAGAATCATCCTCTGATGTTATGACAACTCCTTGTTGGATCAATAGCTCAGAAAGAACTCGTCCATAAGGAATGAAGAATGTCTTTCCCTTGTGAAAGGATGAAAGAGTCTTTTTCAGATGGTCAAAAATAATTTGAGCCATATCAATATGTATATCTAAATTAAGAAGAAGTATCAAATATTTTTCAATAGAATCCACAAGGTTTAGATCCTTGTCCTTAGGTAGCAAGTTTGAGTTCAGAATCTGATTCCAAACATTTGCATCAGGACGAAGATTTGAGACATGAGAAAGGTTTGATGGATCTACAAAAGTACGCAAAGTAGGAAGATAGTATTTCCAAACAAGAGTACCTGGGACTTCTCCAATCTCCTCACAGTTGATTACTTTAGCAACCGTCTTAGAGATTATTGTTATAGAAACACCAAAAACCTTGGAAAGGACAACATACTCAGGATTTAGCTCAACAATGTATGCATTACCCCAAAATTCT